CTGAGTTAACTATGAACTCTGAAATGGTGTTCGCTCTAACATTCTTGAGGCTTTCACATCTTAATCTGAGATCTGACACCTCTTGTTAAGGCTGGGGACTATTAAAAGCTTCCTGTTGGCTAACCCAGTCCACCATTTAGCATCTTAACAGTTAAGTTACTATAAAAAAATAAAACTGCTCCCAAGCATTGATTGAAACAGTCGTGCTGAGATCCTTTTTCAGAGCATTAGCTCCCTGAGAGAAGAGAGGTCCTAACTAGTTGCTTCCATGAACAATGACTCCAGTATAGTATATCTAATGTCCTTTGAGGCATAACTCAAGAGGTCAGACAACCATGATTATCCTGACAAGTTTATCAGTCTTTAGATACAAGATATATTTAAAGCTGATCCTAGATGAAGTATTGCAACTATAATCCCAAGAAATCATCCAGTTTTAGCACAGCGAGTTCCTGCAAGATGTTAGAGCAAGTGAGGAAATCATCCCAAAGTAAAAAGTGATGATCTTTTGTAAGTGAGAGGAAAACATCTAGGAGGAAAATAAGTCCTCATTAAATTGATGGCTATCTTCACAGCCTTAATTGACAAAATCCAGAGGGCTCACATTTCCTGATTGGAGGAGTCTATTTTTTTTAAGGTCAAAAAGAGCTTTCAGGCTTATCTCTGCCATGGCCCATGAACTCCAGTCCTTCAATGGGAATCTCTTTCTCCTTTATTGCTTTCTGAACACTCTGCTGATAGCACTTGAAGAGGTCGGTGCACAGGTCTCTGGAGCTGTCCCCCTTGAGGAACTTCTCGGCAAACTAGTAATTAAAGCACTGAACATACTTGTGCTTCATGTTGGTGCATCCTTCCCCTATGCCAGGGGTCCTCAAACTACGGCCCGCGGGCCACATGCAAATACAAATATTGTATTTGTTCCCGTTTTGTTTTTTTACTTCAAAATAAGATATGTGCAGTGTGCATAGGAATTTGTTCATAGTTTTTTTTTAAACTATAGTCCGGCCCTCCAACGGTCTGAGGGACAGTGAACTGGCCCCCTGTTTAAAAAGTTTGAGGACCCCTGCCCTATGCTGTTTATGACGGCAGCCTAGAAGATTCTTGAGTAACCTTATAACTGTGGTTTTGAACTCTATGTCCAGTAGTTTGCTTTCTTCCATTTCTTTCACTTGTGACATGTTTCTTTGTCTCTGCATTTTGGCTGCTTCCCTGTGTTTGTTTCTATGTATTGGGTAGAATTGCTATGTCTCCTTGAGTTGGTAGAGTGGCCTTGTGTAGTAGGTGTTCTATAGGGCCCAGTGGCTCAGCCTCCCCAGTCACCTGAACTGGGAACTTTAGGTGTACCCCTTTGTGGGCTGTGAGCACAGTCTTGTTGTAGTTGAGAATTGATTGCTGTTGGTGTCACTGGGAGGAATTGACCTCCAGGCCAATTTTCTATGGGAGAGCTGCTATGCAGGAGACACCCCTGTGGAGCAGGACTTGCTTCAGTGGGGGCTTTGGTGCTCACTGAGTCTGCCCCTTGAGTGTGTTGCTTATGGATATGTAGAGTTGTAATTTGGTATGGTCTGACACTGACCACTGGGTACACTGGCTCTTGGGTCTCAGGGAGGTGCAGAGTCAGCCACTGCCTGGGGCCACCCAGCAGGAGCTACAGAGAGATCTGCAGATTCCTCCTCTTTGTATCAGGTTTGGAAGTGCCCGGACGAGGCCCAGCTATGAAGCAAAACAGGCTGGTGCTGGTGCTAGTGCCAGGTCTTGGGCCTTTTATTGATAGGTTTGGGGCTCCCTGGCCCAGCTGAAGCTTGTTTGAGATTTTCAGGCTATTCAGATGCAAAAGCCACTGCGGTCAGCTTGGGTGGGATTGTAAATTGAATGAGGCTGAGTATTAGGGAATCACCAGGATGGAGCAAACAGAAATGGCTGCCAGTCAGCCCTGTGACTGGGGAGGTCCCAGCATAGGAACAATGATCCCTACTAGTACCACCGTCTGGGAGAAAGCCACTCCCAATTTCCTGCCCTGATGCCAGACAGCTGTGTCCCCCAGAGCCTTGTCCTAATGCTGGAGCTCAGAGGAAGCAGGACCTTGTAAGTTCAGTTTGTGGTGCTGGTCATTTAAGAGGGACAGTGGGTCTCCAGCAGCCTCTGTGTCACTGAGACCCAATCTGCACTGGTTTTCACAGTTTGTAGTTCTTACTGCCCCCTATAGGGACTTCTTTCCCCAGCTCTGGGACCCTGGGCTGGGGGTCTGGTGTGGGGCTGGGAACCCTTGCTCCTCCAGGCAGCCTCCACAGAGAAGATCTCCCTCCTGATTAAAAAAAGTGGCACAGGTGGGTGCTGGACCAGCCAGTTCAGCGCCTCCACACCTCCTACCAGTCTCAGTGTGTTTTCTTCTTTACTTCTCTAATTGTAGGGCTTCCATTCAGCTAGCTTTCTGGCGGTTCTGGATGATGGATGTTCTGTATTTTAGTTGTAACTTTGATGTGGTTGTGGGAGGCGGTGCGTACACCGTCATCTTTGCAGAACTCTGGGTTACAGGTTTGATCCCTGGCCCTAGTTGGGGCACATGTGGGAGGCAACCAATCAATGTGTCTCACATTTATCTCTCTCTCTCTCTCTCTCTCTCTCTCTCTCTCTCTCTCTCTCCCCCCCCTCCTCCCGACCCTCCCTCCCATCCACTCTCTGGAAAAATATCCTAATACCCTCTGGACAAGATAAATACATTTTTTAAAAAGCAATTAAACAAGGTATTTCATGTAAAATACTTGATATGCTGTTTGGAATGCAGGAAGTATTCAGTGTATATTAGACCTAATTGCTAGCATCAATTAATAATAATTAGTTCATATTTGTGGATGAGGGGAGTTTGATCTATTTGGTTTTATGTCTGTGGGTGAAAGAGGTAGGAAAGTGAATAAGAAAGAAAGATTAAGGTTAGGAGCATAGTAAGGTAAGTGAAGTCCGCAGTCTTTATCCCAAGTCTATTGTTGCCATACAGCATTTGGTAAATAATAGATTTGGATAGTATTGTTGGTTGAGGTTTATGCTCTTTCTTTGTGGGTGGAGGCAGTGATAAGGAGAACTTCTCTTCCTAGAGTCTTATTTTCTTCAGCTGTAAAACCTGGAAATCATTCCTGTCTGACTGTGTTTTGGAACATGCTGTGGTCCTTTAACGCAACATGCGACATACTTATGCATCATATGCCCAGGGGTCAAACAAATGCAGCCTTAGTATGAAATGCAAAGTCAGTGGCCTCCTCTCCACTCGTGGGGCTCTGTACTTTCAAAAGGCATCAATGCCAATTTGCATTTTTAAACTCAGAATTGGGGGCTTTAAAATGAAATGCATACCATGGAGTCTTCTCTGGCCTCCTCTCCCTTTGCCCTTTCCTAACAGTCATTCTCTCGGCTCCCTTCTGCTGTGTTCCGTGGTTGCATGTGCATGTACCCTGCTTTCTTCTTGTAGCCAGCTCCTCCTCTGGGCAGGAACCACGATTGCTCTTGGGTCTTTTGTAATTTCTGTGGCAGCATTTCTCAAATGGTGTTACAGTCACTTGGGGGGACTGTAAAAAAAATGGCTATTTCCCCTCCCCAGGTTCAGAATCAGCAGGTCTGGGTGGGACGTAGAGGGTCTGCATGTTTACCAAGCTGATTCTGGTCCTTGGAGCCCACATCTGGAGAAATTGTGTATAACAGACATAGTGATGGCATGGCCCTGAAAGGCGGCACAGAACCAGATGTGGGCATGCTCTGAGGCAGCACTTGCAGTTCTGATGGAGGCTTTGGAGGTTGTGGGCACTCTTTCCTTCCCCTTTGCTTCTGCACCTTCTGCCCGGAGGCCCGTGGAAAAGGAGCCCGGAAACAAGTGTTCAGAGGCCTCTGCAGCAGGGGGCTCAGGCTTTAAGGCTGGCCATGAAGGAGGGGTTCACGGGATTTGATTGCGTGAATGAAACCAGCCTCGAGCATTAGAGCTGACGGGCAGCCCACTTAGACTTCCTCCTTTTCTGAACCCACACCCCACCTGCTTTGGACTGCCCGCTGGCGTGCTCACGACAAGTCTGTTTTTATTATTCTTTGGCTCATACATCTGCTGGATGTGGCACAGATGTGCTCACTGCTGGATCTGCTGAATTTTTTGTCTTAAAAAACATACTTAAGTGGCATTTTGGTTAAAGTACAAATCCCTTGATTAAAACTTAAGTACTATTTACTTCTTTATAACTTGAGCATTATTAAACCTTACGTTCTGGGTCTTAGGAGGTTTGCTGGGTGCTTGGATCTGCTCACCCCTTCTTGTTCATCGCCTGCCTCACCCAGGACTCCAAGACTAGGTCCATTTCCAAGGCTGAGCCTCTCTTATTCCTTCCAGTAACAGCCTCCCTACCATTATGCCTCTCCATCCTATCAGCTTTTTTTTTTCCTTTTAATTTTTGAGGTCTAATTTATGTAAGATGAAACACACAGATCAATGCGTTTTAAAAACTGCATATACGTGTACAGTCCACACCTCTATAGAAAGATCTTGATAGGAATGTGGGTCACATACATGTATCCATTTCCAAATCCAGGAATTTCCCAAATGGCCCTTCCCAGTCCACCCTTCCTGACTCAGCCAATCAGTGTTCTTATTTGTTTTTCCATAGAAATAAACCCTACAACTGCTTGCCTGTCCTACAATTTCATATAAATGGGATCAGACAGTAAATACTTTTTGTGTCTAGCATCTTTCACTAGCATAATGTTTTTGTGCTTCATTCATGTTATTTCATGTCAGTAGTTCTTTCCTTTTTATTGCTGAGTAGTATTCCCTTGTATAAATAAACCACAAATTGTTTATCATTCGTAAATTGTTAGACATTTGGGTTGTTTCCAGTTTGGGGCTATTGTGAATGAAACTCCTCAGAACTTTCTTGTGAAAGACTTTTTTGTGGATGTATGTTTTCGTTTCACTGGGTAAATGCTTATTGTTGGGTCCCCGCTGGAAGAAACCAGGCCAAGAGACGTTTTGAGAGCTTAAGAAATTTTATTACCTTCTCTCACCCCGGGCTGATACCAGTGTGTGGGTGTCAGCCCAAGGGGATGGCTAGGTTCTCTTATATAGGGTCAGGATGTGGGTGCGAGTTGGCCAAGGAGAGGGGAGGGCATGAGTCACTCAAGCGAGTCAGGGGAGGAGAGTGCACAGGTCAGTCGGGCGAAGAGGAGTTCATCTTATCTTGCTTCCACAGGGGCCGCCATCTGGCACTGCCATCTGCCCCGAGCTATGGGAAAAAGGTTGTAACAATATATATTACATGCCCAAGCAGGAGAGATTAGGGGTAGTTCATCCTAATACTTATAAGCAGAACTTTGGGGCATAGGGATGTGTATGTTTAGCTTTTTGAGAAACCATCTTCCAAAATGATCATACCTTTTTTACACTTCCATCAGCAATGCATGAGAGTTATGATAATTCAATCTCCTTGCCTACGTTCAATACTGACTTTAATTTTAGCTGTTCTAGTAGGCATGAAGTAGATATCATTGTGACTTTACTTGAGTTTCCTTGTGATGTTGAACAACTTTTCATGAACTGTTTGGCCAAAGGAATATCTTATAGGAAGTATCTTTTTATGAAGTGTTTGTGAAGTTCAAGTATTACGCCCAGTTTTTATTGGGTTGCTTATTATTATTATTTTGTTGGATTGTTTAAATATTCTGGATACAAGTCTTTTGACCGATATATGTATTGTGAATATTTTCTCCCACTTGGTGGCTTGCCATTTGATTTTCTTAACAATTTCTCTGATGAGCAGAGGTTTTTAATTTTGATGAAGTCCAATTTTTCAGTTTTTTCTGTTGGAGTTCATAATTTTTGTGTCTTCTTTAAGAAATACTTCCAATTCTCAAAGGTATTTTCCTACTGGTTCTTCTGAAAACTTTATAATTTAGTTATATATATATTTTATATTTGAATCTATGATCCATCTCAAATTAATTTTATGTCAAGTTTGAGGAATGAGTAGAGGCTCTCTGCTCCCAGAGGTTTACACAGTTGTCCCAGGGCCATTTGCTGAAAAGACTAATTTCCTCACTGAATAGCTTTGGCACCTTTGTTGAAAGTCAATTGATAGGTGGGTTTCTTGATTCCATTCTGTTCCATTGATCTACTGGTCTATTCTCAGATCATTACCAGGCTGTTTTGATTACTGTAATTTCATAGAACATTTTGAAGTCAGGTGGTTTGAATTAGAGCCAAATGAGATGACTAGGCATCAAACACTCGAGGCATTCAGAAGAAGGAGAGGAGACCATAGGGCAAATTAGTTGAGGATGACTTCAGAGAGGAAATGGGATTTGAACTAGCTCTGAAGCAGAGGTTGGGTTTAAGTCAGTGGTTCTCAACCTTCTGGCCCTTTAAATACAGTTCCTCATGTTGTGACCCAACCATAAAATTATTTTCGTTGCTACTTCATAACTGTAATGTTGCTACTGTTATGAATCATATTGTAAATATCTGATATGCAGGATGGTCTTAGGCGACCCCTGCCAAAGGGGTCGCGACCAACAGGTTGAGAACCGCTGATTTAAGTGAAGAGGAGGAGACGCCATTGCCACTGTGGGAAAAGCATGTGCAAAAGTCCTGGGGTGGAAATGGACACTGCCCATTTGGAAGACAGGAAAGAGACCAGTGTGTTGCCGAAACCGGTTTGGCTCAGTGGATAGAGCTTCGGCCTGCAGACTGAAAGGTCCCAGGTTCGATTCCGGTCAAGGGCATATTCCTGGGTTGCCGGCACATCCCCAGTAGGAGGTGTGCAGGAGGCGGCTGATCGATGTTTCTCTCTCATCGATGTTTCTAACTCTCTATCTCTCTCCCTTCCTCCTGGGGTGGAAATGGACACTGCCCATTTGGAAGACAGGAAAGAGACCAGTGTGGGGAAAACTGGGGAAGAGAAGTAAGATATAGTGCATAGAGGGCTCTGATTACCAAGCCGAGGGTACTGGGGTTATGGGTTTGGCACACTCACTTCTGATGGCAGATCTGTAATGCTATCTTGGTGCTCATGAAGTACTTTTTCCTATGTGGCCCATGCTCTCTGAGTAACATAGGAAGGAGTTTCCAGGCCATATCCTGCACAGTTTTGAAATTGGCCTTGGGCACTCTTGGTTTTCTGTTGGGGATTTCCTTTCTTGATTGCCTCTGTAGCCCAGTCAGTCCTCCAAAGCAGCAATTCTGGTTTTTTTCAGGCTGGTGGCCAGAAGGCCTGGTAACTTGGTTTGTTTGTCGGAAACCCTGGTCTGGCTCCACCCTCCCTGTCCAGATCAGAGAGTCTACACACCCTTAATTTAAAACAAGGAAACCACCTTTTCCAAATGAGTAGCATGAAACAGAAAACCCTCTGTCTACAAAACCAACATTGATATTGAGTATTTGTACCTATTCATTCACTCAGGAGTCTTGGTTTTCATTGTTCTTGTCTAATGCATCTGGCTGGGAACACAATAGGCGGCTTCATCCTACAGAATTTTACTGTATTTAAGCTGGATTTGTGTGTGGATGTGTGTGTGTGTGTGTGTGTGTGTGTGTGTGTGTGTGTAGGAGTGGTTGAAGATGTCGAAGAAGCCACAGGCACTTGTAGTGGAGCTGGGACAGCAAGACTACTCACCAAACAGCGAACTCAGAAGCTGGGTGCTGCCCCCAAACTGGGACCATGGGGCATGCTGAATGCCGGCTTCCCTCCATTCTTCCCACTGGGAAGCCAGATTTTCTCTTTCATTCCTGGGCCTGGCTCCTGGCTCAGGGCTGCTTGCCCTTTACAGCAATACCCTTGACGCTCAGCAGGGCTCATTGGTTTTATGAGAAAAGATGTTAGGGTCAGGCTCTCCTGCTCCCAGTCCTGGCCTGATTTAGGACGCTGGTAGCAGCCCGGGGCTCCGCCAGTTCCCTCATCCATGTGCCTCGCAGTCCTCAGTCACTTCCTTCCTGTTTTGTGGCCCCTTCAGTTTCATAATTTTAAAAATTCTTCCACAGCTACATGCATTCTTACTTCTTCTATTTTGGTCACATATGCCTTGGAGGTAACGTGTTTCAGCAACTTCCCATTGTGGGCTTCCCCCATCTCTTCAGGCCTCGGGGCTTCCATCTGTGCTGTTCCTGGCCTGAAAAGGGTTGTTTCTTTTTCACCAGAGTCCGGACATCCTCAGCACCATTGGCTATGACAGCATCATCCATCATCTGAACAACGGCCGCAAGAATTGCAAAGAGTTCGAAGACTTTTTAAAAGAAAGGTACACGCTGTTTCCTGTCTGAAGGCAGAGGGAGGACAGGATGCTGCCACACAAACAAGGAACGATTCACTGCTTCATGGAACTTGCTCCTCTGGTGTGGGGTGCTTATGGGACCCGGGACTCGGTCTGCTGAGTCTGGGCCATAGGCTGATGTTGCTTCATGGTTGTGTTTCATGGTTCACAAGACCCATCTGCAGTAGGTTATGGGATGCTCCCCAAGATGTAAATGATATCTTTGTCCTAAAGTTCTTAGAAACCAGTTGGAGAGATAAGACTTATGAATGAAGCAGCAAACAAAACGTAATAAAACATTAAGTTGTGTGATACCCATGACACTGAGAGACCTCACGGGAGAGGGGGATTGTGGAGGACTGGCCAAAAGAGGGGGGCATGGGAGCTTCGTGGAGGAGGAGATCCTTGAGGTGGCCCTCCAAGGGTTTGGTGGATTTGATAGGTGGAGGGGTATCCAGATATATGTGGGGGAACAGCAAGCTTGGAGATGAGAATGAGCATGACCCATGTGGTGAGTGGGAGGGAAGGGGAGGGGCAGAGCCTGAGTCAGAGACCACTGGGGGTCAGGGAGCAGTGACAAAGATGTGGGGCAGGTCATGGCACTCTACCTGGCACTATGGCTTGGGATACGAGCTTGCTCTATAGGAGTATCTTTCCTTTTTTTTTTCTTAAAAATGTTTTATTTATTTATTGATTTGAGAGTGACAGCAAGAGCGAGAGAAGAAATATTTCAGTTCATTGTTCCATTGATTTATGCATTCATTGGTTGCTTCTTTTTTTAAAAAAAAATATTTTATTGATTTTTTACAGAGAGGAAGGGAGAGAGATAGAGAGTTAGAAACATCGATGAGAGAGAAACATCGATCAGCCGCCTCCTACACATCTCCCACTGGGGATGTGCCCGAAACCCAGGCACATGCCCCTGACTGGAATCGAACCTGGGACCCTTCAGTCGGCAGGCCGACGCTCTATCCACTGAGCCAAACCGGTTTCGGCGATTGGTTGCTACTTATATGTGCCTTGACTGGGGTCAAACCTGCAACCTTGGCGTATTGGGACGATGCTCTAACCAACTGAGTTACTTCCAGGGCTTCTTTTTTTTTTCGTAGTGGGTATGATTTTTTTTTTTTAATTCTATACTGAATGAAGTGAGTTAGTTTTGTGGAACTTACTCCTCTGGAATACTCCATTGTGATTCTGGATGGAGTGCTTTAGGGGGATTTTTGGCCCAAGTTCTAGGTCATTGCTAGGCCCCAAACCAATTAACAGTGAGTTAGAGAGTCATAATGTGGAGATAAGACATCAACGTGTCTTCAACCAAGTCTCTTTACTTTCTACTCAAGAGAACATTAGGCATCATAGAGCACACACTGGTAGCCACACTCAGGTGGTGAGGCCTCTCTCCTTGAATGGATTCAAAGGACCACTGCCCCCCTGTGCATCTCAGGAGAGGTGGACAGAGCGAGGTCTATCCACTGGGGGGTCCATAGAGCTGGTCACTGCCCCTCCTCCTTTAAGCGACCAGCCTCCTCTTCTACCCACCCTGGCTGACGATGGTGACACCAAGTTGCATCCTTCCTTTTTCTGGACAGGCACTGAAGGTGGGCTTCCTCCTGGTTCCAACAGAGCTGACAAAGTAGCAAGCAATCAAGAGTCCTGTGACTATGCAGGAGATAGACTGCAGAACATCCCTTGCTTTTGTGTTCCTCTTCCAATCAAGGCTTTTATACATTTACACATTTTCTCCTGGAGATGAAACAGTTTTGCGACACATCCATGAAGGAGGTGTTGGCTAATAGCTGAAGCTTCCGCTGCCCAGTGGACCATCCACTGGTGCCCTGACACAGTGGGGTGGTAGTGTAAGTCAGGGGTGTCCGTATTTACAAAAATGTAACCCTCAGTAAGGAATACTTGTTACACTGCCACCCAGTACACACACACAGAAAACGAAAGTTTAAGAAAACATCACTACCCTATGATTTTATTCAATTCTATTTCAGTGAGTACATTAAATAGAATTTTATGCTGGTCATAACCCATTGGATTGATTTATGGTTCCCTAGTAGGTCATGCCCCACAGTTTGAAAAACAGAAGTCCAAATGGAACCCAAAAGCTAAGCTCGCACTTTTAAAATGTTTCACAAAAATATATGGGCAAGTGGGAGAAATATATGCAAATTAAACATGGTGAAGTATTGATACTGTATTTCTAGTATATGGCCATTTTTCTCCAGGAGTTTCATAGTAAAAGACACCAGTCCCATGTGCTCTGATTTTGAGGAAGAATCTGCTGCCATCAGTTCAGAGTGTCAGATATGTACGCATGCCCAAGTGTGGGGACTCGAGGCCCCTGAGCGAGTGGCCTGCCTGGCCTTTGGGCTTCCTTTGCTGGTGGTGTGCTTACCAGAAGGAGGCTGCTGTGACCGAGGAGAGAGCGTGGGCTCCCCCATTGCATCCTGTTCAGCGATAATTTATGTGAGGAAGTGCAGTCCTCTTCTGGGTTGGGGGGGGGTCTAACATTTCCTCTTGCTCTGTTAGGTGCGGGGTGCTTATGGGATGTGGGACTCGGTCTGCTGAGTCTGGGCCAGAGGCTGATGTTGCTGAAACGTCTTCCAAGGCTCTTGAGCATCATTTCACTGAGCTGCTGTAAATTTCATGTGGAACCCTAGCATATTTGTATGGACTAGAGGCACCACACACACAGAGACAGGAGCAAAGATAGCAGCAATCTGTCATATATATATTACTTATTATTTTTAAGTGTATTTTTATTGATTTTAGAGAGGGAGGGAGGGAGGGGGAGGGAAGGAAGGAGAGAGAGAGAGAGAGAGAGAAACATAAGTGATGAGAGAGAATCATTGATTGGCTACCTCCTGCATGCCCCCCCACTGGGGATCAAGCTGGCAACCCTGGGCATGTGCCCTGACCAGGAATCGAACCATGACCTCCTGGTTCATAGGTAAATGCCTAACCACTGAGCAACATCAGCCAGGCTACTGTTTATTATTTTGAGTTCATCAAGTGTGATACACATACATGTATAAAATTTTTTTGATATGTGGCTAAATATGTCCTATATCCAAGTTTTGTGACACCCAACCCCTCTTGTCAAAGTGTCAAAGTCCTGCCGTGGACCATTCTGGCATTTCTGGCAGCTCAACCTTGGTTATACCCAGGCGGCTTTCAGTCAACACATTTACACTCATTTGGGGACAGACAGAACAATCACCTAAATGCAAAGCACAGGGTCAGATGCTGCTCTGGAGTAGGCAAGCATGCTGCCTTTCCTGCATCCGTATGGCTGATCCCTGGGTCATGTCTCAGTATGTGCTCTGTAGCTGATCTGTCCCCAGTAAGTCCTGGACGCCTTATTGTAACACAGCAAGTAAGTAACAAAACACAGTAACAAAAAATCCATCAGTAAATTGCAAATTTGCCCAGTTTAGCCTTCCAACCAGCTGGAAAGGCATAATGATGACATTTATGAGGAGCACCACACGGCAGTCTGAGCCGTTCCATACTAACAACCACATGTGGAGTGTTTGCTATGTGCTGTGCTGGGAGATTTGTCTCAGAATCTCTATTACTGTAACACTGAGGTTTATACATGTCTTTGAAATATTCTCCTTTGCCCGGCTGGCATAGCTCAGTGGTTGAGCATCGACCTATGAACCAGGAGGTCACAGTTCAATTCCCGGTCGGGGCACATACCCGGGTTGTGGGCTCAATCCCCGCTGTGGGGCGTGCAGGAGGCAGCCAATCAATGATTCTCTCTCATCATTGATTTTTTTTCTCTCTCTCTTCCTTCCTCTCTGAAATCAATAAAAATATATTATTTTAAAAAAGAAATAGTCTCCTTTGACACATATCCACTGCACGAGGTATTATTGTTTCCACTGTCTTTGCATGAAAGTGTAACTTTAAAAAAGTATGTATAATTTTACTGATTTGAGTCATCAAGTGTGATACACATATGTTTATAAAATTTTTGTGACATGTGGCTAAACATGCCCTGACCGGGAATCGAACTGTGACCTCCTGGGTCATAGGTTGATGCTCAACCACTGAGCCACACTGGTCGGGCAAAAGTGTAATTTTTTTAAAAAAACACACATATTTTATTGATTTTTTACAGAGAGGAAGGGAGAGGAATAGAGATTTAGAAACATCGATGAGAGAGAAACATCGATCAGCCACCTCCTGCAGGCCCCCTACTGGGGATGTGCCCGCAACCAAGGTACATGCCCTTGACCGGAATCGAACCTGGGACCCTTCAGTCCTAAGGCCGATGCTCTATCCACCAAGCCAAACCAGTTAGGGCAAAAGTATAACTTTTGAAATTAAGTTAGTAAGTCATTTACCATGGGAACTTAGAAAGTGACAGAAACCCAGAGACATCTTACATACAGACCCTATGTTTATGACTCATCAACTCTGGGCTTTCTGGGAAGATGGCTTGTTCCTCGCACAGAGACCTTCTCTATTTGCCTTTAAAAAAATATATATTTTATTGATTTTTTTTTTTTTTTTTTTTTTTTTTTTACAGAGAGGAAGGGCGAGGGATAGAGAGTTAGAAACATTGATCAACTGCCTCCTGCACATCCCCTTTGACCGGA